CTCCGCACTGCCTGGTTTACACTTGAGCCAGTATCTTGTGATTTCCATGGGCGTCCCTTGAGCAGCTCACCCAAGGGGGGCAGTGGGGCCAGGCCTCTGGGAGGGGGCAGGCCTGGGGGCACCCTTGTCATCTGGTGAAGAGAAAGAACAGGAGAGGGCCGGAGATGGGGGGTGGCAGGGCCTCCATCCAGGTCTGGGGAAGGGCTGCCCTGCCACCCACTGGCTGGTCCAGGCACAGGCGGGGTCTGCGCTCTCGCCCCTAAGGGTGGACAGGCCTCCCCCACTCCCTTCCAGGGTGGCACCCCTGCGTCTGCACACCTGCATCGGCTCCCCCCCCGACCGCGCTCTCCCTCCTGTCTGTGCCCCCCGGGCGGCGGCCCGCGGACGGAGGACGCGGTACTCACATACTTCCAGCCCAGCGTGGTCTTGCAGTTCTCACAGTATATGTCGGCCACCGCGTGCAGCCCCGTGAGCAGGACCCTCTCCTCCGCGGGGCCGCAGCCCACGTTCACCCTGCGCAGGGGGGCGGAGAGACCGCGCTAAAGGTCCCGTCCCCTGCCTGGCTCCCACCCAGGCCCCAAGAGAGCCCACCAGAGCCCAGGAGCTGTCCAAAGAGCAGCGCCGACTCCCCCAGGTCCCCACCCGCTGGCCACAGCCTCCAACGGGAAGGAACGGCCTCCGGTCTCCCACGACAACCCTGCAAGACGGCGGCTGGTCACTAAGCGCTTTGGAAACTCCCAGGACAGGGACGGTGGCTCTGGTCACAGGGGACACTGCGTCCTGCCCGCCATGGGTGGCCTCGGCCCTGAGGAGTTCAGCGGAAGCGAGCGGAGCCACCGCAGCCTCCCAGGGCCACCGCGGCAGAGACAGCGGGTACTCACACGGAGTTGAAGAGGTAGGCCCGGCCCTGGCTCCCCTGGAAGGACTGCAAAGAAGAAGAGGGGCCGTGAGTGGCTGCGGGCTGTGCACCCTGGACAGGCAGGGCGGGACGAGGGAGGGTTAGAAACAAGCAGGGGGGCCAGAAGGTGGCGTGGTGAAGGGCGCAGGACTCCCACGTGGCTGACCGAGGTTCGAGTCCTGGACCTGGCACCTTGCTTTCTCACTCTCTCTCTGTTCAAATTAAAAATAAATAAAGTTAAATAAAATTTTTTATAGGGCGTGTGCACTCGCCAGAAAGACAGAGAGAGACAGAGAGACAGAAAGCGAGAAATCACCCCCCAGGGGGGATGGCCACGCCACAAT